TAGGCTTACCCAAAAGCGCCATTGTCTGATTTCACCTTTCCTCTAGCCATCTTCTTCACTCATTTCAAGTATGTACATACTTGATTGCACCACTGCCTTAGAGAAAGTATAGTTTTGTACATTACCTGCTCTTACAATTTATTCAAATATAAAATTGTTCAAATAGCAATACATCTTAGAATCAGTCTTTTCCTATTGGAGGCCAATTTCTGAAGTTCAAATTGTAAAACAGCATGCATACTCTTTAGTTACTCTTCCCATACAGTACACAGCAAAAAGGGTAACATGCATATTATTGTTTTTGGATGCAAACCCTGATCACATGCATATTCCCACATTCTGCATATAAATTCTAAAACACAATACTCTCCAGAATCTTAATTCTGCGGCTATCTTCTCTGTATTTTAATAATTTATCCTTAATCCTGTATTGGAAAAATAGGATGGCAGCACGTTTAGGACAGATTCACAAAAAAACATCACTCTATCAAGAGAAAAAAAATAAAATAGCAAGCGCACATATAAGGGTGGTACTTTACCAGTTCCCATCCACGCCTTGCGGATTGCATCTCTATTGTTCTTGCGGCCAAACGTTGTGAGTACTCCTATGACCACTAGGGGCCTTTTCTTAGGTATCTTATTAGTCTTTGACCAGTGGTTCGAAGTGAAACCTTCTTGTTTGGCTGCTACCAGTTCCATCTCAAGGGCTGATAATTTCTTCTGTTGTTCCCTAACATGCATAAGATCCTTGATCAAACTTATTTTAAAAATACAAATTAATGCAAGTGTAAAACGTTAAAACCCAAATAATAACTGACAATTAACTTACCTGCAGGCAATAATTTTCAGTGTATCATCCACTGATATTGCAGAGTGCCCCTGAAAATAAAAAACTACTTGTTCACTTAAATTACTCCAAATAAAGCTAAATGTGCACATGGACATGCCATGCAAGTGTGCACATGGGAGTGTGAAAAAAATACTTGTCAGTTTCAACGCAAGTAGGCACATGCATGTTTTTGTGTAAAGCGCCACTTATTGGTGTCAAATAATGCACGATGCCTACCAACACTATTAATACAGTGGGGACAGTAAACCCACTTCTTTTATAAATCAAACATGTTAGATGTTTCTAAACTTGTCATACCATCAGCCTTGTAGGCCAAACGAAACCCAGGCAGCTTTCTCAACTTTTATGTCAGGAGCTCAAGTCCTTATATTCTCTCACTTAGCAAAAGAAAAATACACAACCAAATAAAGTGAAAATTTTGTATAACCATGTCAGTCGGTAATTTTATCCGATGACATAATCATTTGAATTGTGTGAATCTTCAAATGTGCCATTGACTGAAAAAAATACCTAGAAATATTGATGGGACATGCAAAATAATAGTTGGAATGCCACATGATTTGATCCTAAAGAATAGACCATTCCGATGGGCCCAATACAACATCGGTACTACAAAAAATGCAATACCAATAAACATTTTATTACCTGCCCAGTTATCCTATCAAGCTCTTTTATTAAATAGACCCGGTTCTCTGCATCCTGCCACAAGCTATCTCCAGAAAAAAGAAAATGAAACATACTCAGCAAATAAGACTTTAAAAGGGAAAAAAAGAAAGAAAGTGTTATGGTGATAATCAAATGCCAGACGCGCTGTGAAATGCCTCCTACACTAAAAGATATTTTTATGTAAAATCTTTTACATTTAAAAAAAATCACTTTTTCTGATATTCATGTGCTTGGTTGAAGCACAAGAATTAAGTTAAAATACTAAGAAATGCATGTTAAGCAAACACATAAATACGCAAATAGGCAGTGACTTGTTCTAATTGTATTGGGTGAACCTCGAGGTTACAGAAGTTGCGGAACGTGAATAATGGACTCCAACTTCAATTTTATCATTAGGAACTACACGGTGAATATAAGCATTCCAAATTTCCAATAGTGCCACTGGTATATAGATAAGTATCTATGTGCACATCCATCTATACATACATTTATAATCTGTTACATACACTTGTACTTAGCTACACCTGTATATGTAGGCTACCATATACAGGTTCCTTTGGCTACCATATATTTTTGAACGCACATTATGCATCTAGATGCACATGTATACATATCTGCACCTACACAGGTTTGTAAATTCACTTTTGTTAGGTGCACATCTATTCAAATTTGTTAGAATTTCCCATCTTTACCTTCACCTACTCCACTACACACTCCACTTCACTTACCTCCACTTCACCACACACTCCACTTCACCTAACCCACTATCACCTCCACTACACCTACTACCACATTTTCTTCTATATATAGATTGTATAGGAATTGTAATTGATCAATCTTGTAACAATCAATCAATCAATAATACTTGAATTGTAACAAAATTATAATAATATATCAAGCCAAAGAGATCAAGCCAGCAACGTGTGTGATGAACAGAGAGGTAGAAGTGGATTGTTAGGCCTTGTTTGTCATGTACTAAAAAAGTCAAAAAGTCACAATCCTATTTAAGTCACATCATCTTATTTAAGTCAGATCACTTCTCTACCACATCACTTCAAACCCAACCCAAACCTAACCCATATTTCATAAAAAGTCAAAAAGTGCACTTATTTAGAACATCCCAAACCACCCCTTAATCTAACTCATGGCTAGGCTAGTTGAACTTTTGCCCTTGGGGGGATGGGGGTGTAGTCCTCCTTTGGAATTTTTTTCCTCTTTTATTTTTATATGAGTGCAGAATATTACGGGTCTGTTCATCATCCTCCAGTTAGGATGAGTGTCAGATTGTGGCCAGTTTTTGGTGTAAATATAACGAATGCTTCGGGGTCTATTATGATTGTGGCCAGTTTTGATGTATTGATGCCAGATGCTTTGGGGTCGTTTCACTTTTATCTGTTTTGGGATATTTGATCTGAATATGGCCGGTATTGGCCCGAGACCCCAAGAAAGAGGTCCTTATTGGGATGACTTTTAGTTGCTCTTTATTTTTCTATTTTTCTTGCCCACCTCCCTTGTTTCTGCTAGTTTAGCTTGTTTTTCCTAAGTGCATGTTATTTTCGCCTAGCCTCTGAGGTTGCTCTCCGGGTCCTGTTTAGAGCATCATTGTGATATCTCAATTTTTGGTATAAAACTAACTGCTTACCAACCATAAATAAATAAATTTGGAAGATTTGTAACAGATATTTTTTTTTAATTATTTTTTTAAATGCCCACACAAGCAATTACATAAGAACAGTTATGCCAGTTTTTTTTTTTTGTCCTTCTAAAAAATCAGTAAACTACTTCCTGCCTAGATTTCATAGCACACACATCTTGTGCGCACAACCACTAGTATATATATGTATGTCTACAACCGAATGTCTATCTCAGAAATTACTTGCGCAAATTGTAAGTCATTCTGGAATTTTCTAAGTTATTATACATACATCAGCTCATAAAAAAAAAGTTTAAAAAAACAAAAAATCAGATACAGAATGTTCTAAAATCTCACCACTCCAGACTAGACATGAATTCTAAATTCAAACACAAAATTTTAGAAAAACTGAGATACGATTCATGAAATAAACAGTTTGATAAAATCAGAGAGAGAGAGAGAAACTCACCGGCCGGCGACATAAAAGGAAGCCATAGTGGCGAGCATGGAGAGCAAGAGAGTTGAAATTCGGGATCTGTACACCACACCGGAGAGCCGGTTATACGATTCCTTCCTCTGCATTTTCCCAAAATCGAATTTGAATCCCGATCAATCGATCCAACAAAACACAGATCTTTCTTCACCACTTGGTCATGTTCTATCGAATCGAACTGGCTCGAACAGAGTTTGCTCGAGCAACGAGAAATAGAGGGAGAGAGAGAAAGCAATGGATTCAGTTTTTCCAGGTCGGTCTCTGGATTTCAGTGCCGGGGGCAATAAAAGTAACGCATCCCTTTCAGTCAGTGTTGTTTCCTTCTCAAGCGTGGGAAACACACTGGGCCAAACACGAAACGGGCCACCAAGTCAGCGGCGGTGACACGGTTCGGTCCTAGCCCATTATCAAAGCCCATTGCTACAATCTCCAAAGGTGTGGTGAGCATGGTTCGGTTTGAAATAAATCATTATCAATCCGTTGCCTATAATTTTATAAAAGTTAGAATTAAATTAATCCATTTAAATTATGGAATCAATCTGAACCAAAACAACTTAAACATGGTTCAGTTCAATTTAAAATCACAGTTTCACATAATATGTTCACACAAAAAATCATATAACATTCACCAAACAAACTAGTATAAAGCAAAAATTGTTCAACATTAATGTACTCATGATTTTTCAAAGGAAAATTCTAACATACACACCCTTAAAAATGATGTACCATATGCACCCTTAGTTATCCCATTTTCTTCCAGTTATGACCAATTTTCTTAGTTATAACTTATGAGATCTTTAATTATACCTTATGTTATATTTGGTTATGAAATTTTTGTATTTTTTAGTTATGATTGATCAAGTATGAAATTATGTTATTTTATTTATTAGTTATATGGTGCATATGATATACACATTTTGAGGGATGTGTGCCATAGTATTTCCCTTTTTCAAAACCTAAACATATTGTTTTACCATTAGCTTAAACAAATATAATATCTAGTAAATAAATATATTATTTATCATGTAACAAGTATAAAACTCCCATCGAATAAACATTTTTGTGGCAACAACAATTAAATAATTAAAATTATGTTAAATAATTAAAAAAATCAATTTTAGTGGCATAGAGAAGAGAAAAGAAAAGAAAAGAAAACTAGAACGATATGAATTTCGGTTTGGTTTATAAATAAGAGGATAGGATTGTATGCATTGGGGCGTATAGTAGGTATATGACATAAGTTATATACGGTCTGGTTCTGTTCCAATCTAGAACCGTAGATTTAAATCTAAAATCGATACACGAATACCACTTCCCCAATTTTCCAAACCAGAATTGAACTACAAATTAAAAAAATACACTAAACCTACCGGATTGGGGACTGGTTTAGTTTGTGAATTTTTCGGATTCTTTACTTAGCCCTACCAAATGGTTTGTTGTATTAGAAAAAAACAAATTATGAGAAGTGGTACCCTGTTTGTTTTCAAGAGATAAATGGTGGGATTAGACTAACCATAAGGAGGGACTTACAAACATCATGTTTATTTTGAAAATATGTCATGAGATTAACAGTCACATAGGACTATGAAACCCCTCTAAGGAGGGGACTAATAGTCCCACGAGGAGGTGATATTCAAATCCAATCCCATGGGATTATAGGTGAAATAATTATTTTTGTCCATTATTTTACAAAAATAATTTAATATAAAAATAATTTTCAATATTAAAATATAATAGTAGCAATAATATGTGTATACCAAAATATATATTATAGTTATAAAATATAATTTTTAATATTAAAATATATCAAAAATACCAGGATATTTATGAAATTTCATATAGTTAATCATATCATAGAACGACAAAACAAACAAGAATTCTTACTAGTTTGATGGTATCAAACAAATATATTTTTTCTTAATCCCTTCACTCAATCCCAATAATGGCCTATTTTGACAATTAGGGGAAAAAACTAGCTTATTGGCTTATTTAGATCACATCACCTCTCAATTTTTTTAACATATTTTTTCAAAAAAAAAAATCAATTAACCAAAAAAAAATCACTTCTCAAAATAGGCCAATATTCTCATTAGCAATACCCACGCTAGCAATCTCACCTAACCTAACTTTAAGAACAAACAGCCCTGAAAGTCATAGAAAAACAAAGGGTAAATTACACTTTTATTCCCTTTATGTATGGTTGTCACAACCCAAACCCGCCCCTAAAAGTTTAGGTCATGACCGGCCTGCACTCAGGCCTCAAAGACAAAATTTCAAAACTATTTATTCAAATACGAGGCCTTAAGCGGAAACAGATACCAAAAATAATAAATGTTCATTGAGCTGTGCATACATGATGACTTGAAATAATTAAACTATTTAACTACACACTCCAAATTTACATATATAGAATAATAGAGCTTGTACAGATCTTACACACTATAAGAAAAACTTTAAACAAAACTAGGCTTGACGAAATAACACTACGCCTCTACACGGAGGCACTTCCTAGGAGGCTTGACAGAGAGGCGGACTTCGGTACAAACTTTAATGTTGATCCTTCGATGGCTCACCTACATATATACATAAAGTAAAAAGGTGAACTAAAGCCTAGTGAGTAATAATAGTAAAGAGGTTAATGAAAGATGTCCTTAACATGAAGAAAACCTATTTCACAAGTCTGAAACGTATCTTAAATCATATTAAAACAACCAGTTATCGTATCAAAATCCATGGTTTTTCAAATGGAATACATATCTGAAACCATCATATTTCAAAATAGGACATCCATTCATTCATATAAAATCACATTTCGTAACATAAGTCATATAGCGATGTAAAAATATTTGCATTTATATCACATTTTCTGAACGACCTCCGGTCCACGTATAACAAAACAGCCTTGGGCCCAACGTAATAACAAAACGGCCTCGGGTCCAATCATATATCAAAATGGCCTTGGGCCCAATTTATGTATGTATGGACCCAAGAGGTGACTCGCACGGACTCTAGAGGTGACTCCAATTATAGCACTTAGTTCCATACAACACTTTGTTCTATACCAAAAAGCAATAAATCTTAAAGACCGAACAATTCATATCATGTCATAGTATAAACGGAACAGATAAACGAAACGGCCTTGTACCCACCATATCATATTACAAACAATTCACATTTCTTGTTCATAACTCATTTCACATTTCTTGGAAACTTGTGCATTTTGACAAAATACGATATTTAGAGAATCATGTCATGCATAAATCAAAATAGATAATGAAAAATATATCTTTACTATACTATTACTCATAGTGATAGACTTCTGGTAGCAGTTGGGCGATGTTCTTATCTTGACCTACAAACACAATTACATAACCCAACATATCAAAACATAGAATTACTCTCTTTGAACAAATTTACTCCTCTTAATCTTTTCTTAATCAAATAAACAGGTCCCTTACTTTGTCCCTTAACCAATTATTTATGTTGGTTCTAAACTCATTAGTCCTCAATGGGTCATAATTCATATCAAGGAAATAGGAAGAAACGGAAGGAAACTGGATTTGGAGAAAAAATAGCATGAAACAGGTATACAAGTGAACAACCTTCACTAATTTAAACATATCTATTTGTGTAATTATAATTTGGGTATGAGATTACCACCATTAGAAACTAGACTTCCGGGGCTTGAATTTAGGCTTAAGAATCATTTAAAACGGAGTCTGGATAAGGGAGATATGCTTGTTTAAAGTTGGCTGAAATAGGGCAATCCGCACGTGCGGAAATCCAAACCGCACATGCGGTTCTGGGCTTCCAATAACAGGTCCAAAATTTCAATATGTTCTAAAATGGTTTCTTTGCATGGTCTTGAGCTAGGGCTTAGTAAAACTTAACATAAACCTTATGAATTCATGGATAAACATGGGAATAAGGTTGTTTTCCAAATCAAAGGCATCAAAACTTGGTTTAACTCAAGAATTAAGAATCTTTTACAAGAAATTGATACTATATTTTGGTTACAAAACCTAACTTTTCTTCCGAATTCATATAGATCTTCATTTCATATGTAATTTTATGAGTTCAAACCATACAAAACCTCAAGATTAAGGCTCAACCTCTCACAATCAACTTTAAGATAAACAAATATAAGAGAATTAACTCTCAAATCTAACAAATGCAAGGAATCCATGTTTAATTTCTCTCTTTTCCTTCCAAGTTCTTCATTTTTAACCCAATTTGATTCTACTTGCTTTCTATTCTTAGATGTTAGGAGTGTTAATTACAAGAATTAGGGATGAAATCTTACCTTGGATTGCTTTCTAGCTTGGATTAGATGAAGTTCTTGGAGTACTTTCCTTTTCCACTCTTTTCCTCTTCTTTTCTTCTTTTCTTCTTCCCTTTCTTTCTCTCTTTTGGTTCTTTATCTTGATGTCTCCAGAACTCTCTCAATCTCTCTCTCTCTCAGAATATTTTCGTTGAGGCTAGCAAAGCCTACACATATATCTATATGTAATATTTAATAAAATCAATTTAATTCATTATGAATCAGATTTTTACAAAACTTCATACTAGGCTCTAAAAATCATGCTGATCATAAATATGTAGTCGGTTTCAATTTATCGCGCTTCTAAAGCTTTTAATTTCCAGTCCAAAGGTCACAATTTCAACAGATTTTCTTATAACTGATAGATACAACTTCAAATCCTTATAATTCACATCCTTAGACATGCAATTACACAACAACCACATAATTACACTAATCGTGACAAATTACAAGTCCCACATAATTTAGTTAACCTAATTTGACTTCCATTAGAGCCCAATTAATTGTATTTAAATTATCAGTCTAAATCAGAATTCTTAATCAAACTTCCAAAAGGCTCCAAATATCAAATTAAGCTTATTTTCATCATCAATTGTGATTTCTCACATCAGTAAGGCTCTCAATTTCAAGTCAAACTCAAGGTCTCCTTCAATAAATTGCATATTGAAATTGAATACCTCATAAATAAATTGAATTAGCAATAATCTTAATTTCCACTCCTCATAACGTAATTAACTTCAATTCAAACCTAATTAATCAAATCCCAATATTACAAATCTAAATCGAATATCTAATTAAACCTCCATATGGTCTGATACTCTAAATTAAAATAATTCGACTTACTACTTATCTTTTCTTGGGCCAATCAGGCTTTCAATTTCTAATTTCAAATAAATCTTTCATAAAATCGTATACAAATCAATCTCCATAATTTTCATAATTCCCAAATTAAATAAGAATAGTAGGCAATATAATTCAAATCTCC